TATCATGGGATCACGGTTCAAGGTGTGGGGAAAGCCCCAGGCGTTTGAACGGCATTATTTAGTCCCGTTGCAGTCTAGTTTAAGTTAGCAAGAGCTCCCACTAGACTGCTGGATTTCAAATCCCAGCTCCACCCCCTTTACTGGCCGTGTAACCTGGGGCAAGTTACTTAACCTCTCTTTTCCTTCTCACTTGAACAAAAACAGATAATGCAAATTTCTAATGCATTTGATTATTGTGAGGATTAAGTGAATTGATGCCTGTAAAACGATTAGAACACGCCCACCACAGAGTAAGCACTCACACACGCTGGGGACACAGCAGCGCCTCCCCCCACGGTGGATGGGGGACCGGCAGGATTGAGGGTACAGCCACTATCCCGGACTTGGTACAAACATCGTCTCACCTCCTTCTCCTGAGGCCCCCACGGAACTCTGAACACGGAGCAGACTGCTGCCCTGAAAGCCAGCGCCCCGCCCCCCCCCACCTCCCTACCCACAGCATTTTCTGTTTCCTTCCCCAAAAGACGTTGGCTTACTGACCTCTGGCTCTGCACCCAAAACGGCCCTCCTTCTCAAGCCCATACCCTGACTGCAGTCCTGGGAAGATCAGGCCTCGCCGGGACAAGGTTCCAGAACACTCACGTCCTAAAAGTATACAAACATCTACAGCTTTTAGTCCCGTTTCCAAGTGCCCACGGAGGTTAGATGTTGTCTGATGAACGACAATCACCATAGGAATAGCACTAATGCACTTCTTCCTCATGGTGTCCCAGACTCTACACTGCTTCTCACCTTAATATAATAAAAATTTGTCATTAATGGAATGATATTACACTCCACCAGACACCGTATGATCCAAATCAGGCCAAGAGCGGGGGGCTCTGCCTCGCGGAACCACCCCACCAGCGGCAGCTGACAGGCCATTATTCTGTGTCCGGCAAATTCTGTGCAGTGATAAGGAAACTCCACCAATTTGATGCTTTATCTGGCTGCAGGTTGGGGAAAGAGATTATTTCAATCAAGATAATGATTCTATTTCTCGGACGGAAATGAGATTTTTTTTTTTTCCCCGTTGCCTCGTGGGGGTGCCACCAAAATCTGTCTCGGGGCTCAAACTGGTCATGCACAAGTTAGAGGATTTTCGGGCAACCTCCGAGAGCATGAACATGACAGAGATCTCAAGGGAGTGAGCCCGTTGGCAAGAAACACGTGCGTGCGTGCGTGCGCGCGTGCGTGCGTGCGCGCGCGCGCGCACACACACACACACACACACACACACACACACACACGCCAGACCTCTGAGATTACAAAGTCAGTTCTGTTTGGCCATTTATAGGCATGAGACAGCACCTGTGAAACCAAAATTTGGAAGATGAGCAGGTAGTGTGAGTAGGATGGCCTGGATTTCAAGGCAATAACGATAACAAAGTTCCAGAGACCATGCGCTTAGCAATGACAGGACGTGAGTAGCCTAAACCTGCCCATCACGTAGGGAAGATTTCCTGTGCAACTTTGTAGACAGATGGCCCAGCGACTCTTCCCGCACCTTCCACGACAGGGAGCTCACCGGCCTCGGTCCTACTCCATCGCTATGTTGAGAAAGTACCTCCAAACCGCAGCAGTCGCTTTATGAAAGGAAACCACAGTGAAAATTCACAAGGTGCTGACGCTACGATGCATCTAAACCCATTATGGCGACAATACACGTTTCAGGAAGTCAGCAAACGATATGCAAACGATGGTAGGCAATCAGTGCAATGAGTCGGGAATAATTTGAACTAGTGAGTTTGGTGCAATTTTTAATTATTCTAAATATTTGCGAATTTCGAGGGCTGTAACACAGCATCTCAAATTCTTTAGAGGTGATTTGCCTTAAGGAGGAAGTAATAATAATTTGTAACTCAGACATCAATTGTTTCTATAGTAACTGTAAAAACTTTGGAAACGTTTGGAAAGTTTACATGCGTTTTGAACATTCCCCTGGGGGCTGACTTGGTGGATTACTCTCTCTCTCCAAATAAAAGGCACATTTTAGCTCAATTCCTTCAGAAGGAAGAGCCCCAGCTGCTGGCTCTTGAGTGGTCTCTTACTGGACTGCACCAGGCTCACCAAAACTTTGAAATCTAAGCCACACCATTGCTGCGGTGCCTAGACTGTCCTTGGAAAGTAACACAAAAACCCTGGTAATGTTGGTTTTGTCGCCAGGAGAGGATCCAGGCAGCTTGGGGACAGAAGCGGGGAGGAGACTTGTCACAGGACACCTTTTGGTATTTTTGAATTCAGTCATGGGACCGTATGACCTATTAAGAGTAAAAGGACAGTTTCGAAAAGCACATCCATGTTTCACCGAACACAGGCTTTGATACTTACGATTGCTATTTTAATACCGACACGCTTAAAATGCAAATTTACGACAGTGGAAATTACGGCCGAATCAGGTAAAAACCATATTTGGCTGTCTTCACGGTAGTGATGCTCACAGGCACAAGAGTAGGTGCAACCAATGGCCCCCCTCAGACTCCCTTTTCTCGCTGGGATGCCCACTTCCCAGCTGCTTTCACCTGTGGTGTTCTCCCGACCCTGGCTCTTGGTCAAGGGCATGCCTTGGAGGTCACACCAGCAGCACCGTTCCCAAGAGTGGCCAGTGGTGAATGAGGGGTTACTTGAGGCCTGCCCCTTGCTGCCAGGCCAGACACCGTGGAAATCCACATGGGTCAAGCCAAGGAAAGACTAGCCCTGGCACATCCCACCCTCTCCCTGACAAGTAGTCCCTAAAAGCTCTCCCTCGGTATATCGCATGCACCTGAATCCCTGTCTCAAGCTCTGCTTCTAGGCAACCCAGCCTAAATCAGCCAAACCGCAGCTAAAAATGGAACCCTCTAGTATCTTTCCAGTGGGTTGTCCCTAGTGGTAGAAACACACAGGAGCCTGCCTCTTTGAGGCAGGCTGCCTTCCTGCCCGGCCCAAAGATCACCAGTCGACCCTGCACATCCCATGAAAGCCAGCACAGCAAAATGCTGACCAGGCAGAGCAGAGAGTTCCCACCAGCAGAGCCCTGTGGGACCACACAAATACTCTTGTTCTCCAGGATGGCTGAGCAGGAGGCAGGGGCCGACTCAGCAGCCTATCCCCCAATCAGATCCGCAGTTACGTGCCCCAGAAAGTCAGCATAATCGTCAGCTCGATCACTTCTTGGCTAAAGAACTCAAGCAATTGGGGCGCCTGGGTGGCGCAGTCGGTTAAGCGTCCGACTTCAGCCAGGTCACGATCTCGCGGTCCGGGAGTTCGAGCCCCGCGTCGGGCTCTGGGCTGATGGCTCAGAGCCTGGAGCCTGTTTCGGATTCTGTGTTTCCCTCTCTCTCTGCCCCTCCCCCGTTCATGCTCTGTCTCTCTCTGTCCCAAAAATAAATAAACGTTGAAAAAAAAATAAAAAAATAAATAAATAAAGAACTGAAGCAAAATATTTATTCCCAGCCTCAGTTTCCTTATCTGCAAAATGGCACTATCTACAGAGCCTCTGCGAAGCTCATCTGCGGCTATACTGTCAAGTGTGCTGCAAACTGGCAAAATTATATACGTGTTGGTTGTTATTCGTGAGACTGAGAACATTCTAGCTTCCCCTGCTTGCTTGGAACAAGTAATCAACCTTTGCCAAATAAGTAAATCTGAGCTTCCTCTCATCTTGGGCATCGTACCTAGAGCTCCCTATGTGAGAAGCAGCTCCAGAGAAAATCAAGTGGACATTGGGAGCCCTGTCCTGGTGACTGTCCACCTGGAGCTCAGGGCACCTCCTCATGGATCACACGGGTCTCAAGTGGTGGTCAGCTGCAGCTGTCTGGAGAGGGCCCCCTCTCTCTATCCTCTCTATCCTCTCTCTCTCTCTCTCTCTCTCTCTCTCTCTCTCTCTCTGACATCTAGGGAGGATCCCCAATGTGAATTTCCTATCATTGATCCAGGGTCTGTATTGATCTCAGATACAACTTCAAGTTCGGTGAAAACTCCATGCGGCCACTTTCACATGGGTCACAGACAAACTGGCAGAAACTCGATTTTATTTACATAAATGAGGGATACCTTACTCCATCCTGATTTTTTTTTGCCCATGGACCGTTCATGAAGCCACTTCTGGCCCTTTACTACTTGGTCCTACCCAATGTCACCGGCATTTTCTCCCCACCCCCATCCCCCTTCCGACTATCTAGGACCCCTTCAGCATGTCTATGACATCCTCCCCATAGGCCTTTGGGTGTTCCCATCCCGGCACCTGTTCCTGCCCCCACACCCCGACCGGCTTCCCTCCTCCATCAGCCCACTTCAAGTCCCTCTGTCCCCAGGAAGTGTGCCCTAACCATTCCTGTCACCAGCACTTCTGGCTGTGGTATATGTGCCACACTGGACTGTGTGCTTGATCGTAAAGGTCTTTAATACCCTCACATGCCCGGTTTCCTCTCCTCCCACCCTGGACTGAAGGCACCTCCAAAACAGAGCCTAGGCCACTGCTTCTCTTTCTATCTCTCTGGCTATTTCTTGCCAGGCACCTGGCGATTAATAATATTCTCAGCTTGAGTAAAACATTGGGCTGTATGATTGCTCTTAGTTCAACACACTGTTCAACGGCCTATATGAGAACGTACAGTTCTAAGTAGGGTCAACCTGGCAGCAAATTCAGAATTGTACAAACTGTTTGCGGCTCCAGGGCGAAAAAATGCACACCTTCCTTACCCTCCCGGAGTCCTGCTCTCCCCCCAAATACTAATCAACCGCAAGGGAGTCACTCTTTCCTGAGCCAGTGGGAGGCCAGAGCCTGGGTTCCAACCATCCACCTTCCGCCGGCAGCCTTGCATTCCTGAGTCCAGCCCCACCCAGCCGGACACACCTTCCAGAAGAACCAAAAGCCGGCTCCATCAAGGTCATGACCCCTTCCCCAAACAGGGAAACCCGCCTACTCCCAGGAACACTGTCAAACCACAGACCTAAGGAAGCAAAATTCATACTCACAGGCAATGATGCCTTCGTCTTAAATTTCAGGCCAGCAGCTTCTCTGCAAACCTGCTCATTTCCTGCAAAGAGAAGAAAGGGATGGAGAAGCATATTAGCATCTGCTCTGGTAGCCTTTGGCAGTTTCCTGGCCGACCTCGGGCTGCTGCACCTTCTCTCCTTCTTACTCCCAACAGCACGCTCCCCTCCCAGGAGCACCGCGTGCTAGCTGGGTGCGCGCCCCTGGCTCCCCACACGCCTCCCTCCCCCTCCACGGCGCCATGCCAGTCTCAGATTGACCACTGCCTCCAATTCCCTGAAGGCGCCGGGCTTCTTCCCACTCCGGAGTGAGGCCTCCTCTTCTGTAGCATGGGGTTGCCTAGCAACCCCGTGCGCCGGCTCGGAAGGCCCTCCTAAATTGGACCTCACAGCACAGGGCATCTCCTTGTACAGCTGCCTGAATCTTAACAATCTGGCTCTGAATAATAACACAATGGTAATTGCATGCATGGGCCCCAAACTACATTTAAATAATGTTCAAGAGCTGACACAAACCAACAAAGGCCAGAAAATGCATTGCGGAGGTTGACCGTAAGGCCAGGCGGGACGTTCGGTGCGGGAGGGAGTTGACACCAAAGACTTGAGTTAATGACAATGCCAACCTGAACTGTGAATCCTCCTGCCTTTCTGCCTGAGTGTGTCACCGCTTTAATGTGCTTTAAGTGAGTTTGGGATCTGTAGAGGCAATTAATGCCCAGAGATAGTGATGCTTCAAGACAGGATGCCCTTTAGTGCATCAGCAGCACACGCGGGTTTTTGGAGGGAGAAGGCGAGAGGACGACATAGGACAAGAAGGGAGAACCGTGCATGAGTGATGTCCCTTGGCTTTTACGATCGTGGCTGAATACATTTCAGAAGGCGGGACAGAGAACTTACCAAGCGAGAGCACAAAGCACTTGCAACCTCAGCACGGCTGATGTGTTTCGGGATAAGAAGTGAAGGCCAAGAGGCTTGAAGCTGGCTAACAGGCACACTGAAGCGGCTTAGCGTGGTGTGGGGACGGCCGTGCGTGCCAGAGTCCAGCCTTGAGTCTGGGTCCCTGGCACAGTGTGACAAAGAGCTCTGCTCAAGGCACAAGAGCCTTAGCACGGCAGGAGAAGGCAGCCATAGCAGCGAGGGCCTGCGGATCAGCCCCAACTGTGTGAAAGCCAAGGCACTTTTTTTTTTTAAAAAAAAAAAAAGCTCAAAATCTTCCTGCGAGGGACTTAAACAGATATTTGCACACCCACGGGTGTAGTAGCGTGATTCACAACGGGCAAGAGATGAAAACCACCCAAGAGTCAGTGGACAGATGAACGGATAAGCAAAACGCGGTCTATGCGCACAACGGAATATTATTCAGCCATAAAAAGGAGGGCAATTCTGGTAGGTGCTACAACACAGATGAACCTTGAAGCCAAAACGACAAATACTGGGGGCGCCCGGGTGGCTCAGTCAGTTAAGCTTCCGACTTTGGCTCAGATCACGGTCTCCAGGTTTGTGAGTTCGGGACCCGCCTAGGGCTCTGCACTGGTGGTGTGGAGCCTGCTTGGGACTCTCTCTCTCTGCCCCTCCGCCCCCTCGGAATAAAGAAATATACGTAAAAAAAAAAAGACAAACGCTGTGGGATTCCACTTATACTGATATCACAGAGACAGAAGGAGACTCGAGATCACTAAGGGCTGTGGGGAGGTGGCGACGGGGAGTCAGTGTTTAGTGGGGACAGAGTCTCAGTTTGGGAAGATGAAACCATTTTGGAGACGGATGCTGGTGATGGCCGCATGGCAACACCAATATACTTAATGCCCCTAAACTGTACACTTAAAAATGGTTAACAAGGTAAATTTGGTTGTGTATTATTTTATCACGATTTTTAGAAACTCCCCTGAAATAGTAGTACAACATACATGGTCTACAAGACTTCCGTCCATCTTCCCCTTGGAAGTCAAGAGTGGCCTGTGTCATCCATAAGCTCAGACAGGGAGAGACTGCCACCGGTACTCAGGGACCAACTGGACAGTGTGGCTCTGGGCCAGGGAACCCCACGGCTTGTTAAGCGTGGCGTTGGCGCAGCACCGTGTCAGATGGAGGCGGCTGAGCATCGCGTCACAGGATTATCTTACGTCCACTACGTGAGGTCCAAACACCATCACCCTCCAGAACGTGGCCTCCTTCCACCCAACCGGTCCCACCCATCGTGTCCCCTGCCTGCTTCCTCCTCCATCCAGCTCTGATGACACTGTCACTGTTACCCTTTGCCGCGTCTCAGCTCCCTGCCTAGAAAGCCCCTCCCGTGCTGTCCACCTGACCTGCTCCGACTCTTTCTGGGGGGCTCACAGCAAGCTCTGCCTCCTTCATGGAGCCCTCCAGATGCTCCCCATTGTGCTTTCTCTGAGTGCCGCAGCCTGCAGTCAAGCATTTGCTTAGTTGGGTACTACCTTACTCTCACGTCTGGAAGTCTTGCCTCGCCCGGTGCATCCCCGGCAGGACCCCCGGACAGGGACTGTCGCTCATCTTTTTCGCCTGCCATGGACTGTGGCTCAGGGCTGGGCACACCACAGACCATTCCTCCCTCAAGGCTCTCAAAGGGACAGCCGCCCTGCTTCCCCTCCCAGGGAATCCGACCATAACCCCCCTGCCCGGGGTGGAAAGCACGTCTGTGGGCTGCCGAGCCCTGGAGCTGCGTATTCCAGGCAGGCACGCAGATGCCTTCAGTCATTTAGAGGTGTGACTCGGTGTGTGCAATGAACAATTGAGCATTTACAGATTTTATTAATTTGGAAAGGTCATTAGAGCTAACAGCTTCTCCAAGTGGAAGTGAATAAATAGCGTGCATCATTTTTTTTTTTTTTCTTCAGCGTCCTGAGCTTTTTCTTGGAAGGTGCTTTTAAAACCTCAAAAAACAGCGTTGTATTGTTACAGGTTAAAAAGGGGTGGGGCGAATGCAGGCTTGTGTGACAAGAGGAGGCCCACGGAGCTCTGGATGAGCCTCTGCCTTTCTCTGAACCTGCACCTTCTCATCTGCAGAAGGAAGGAGTGGTCACTAAGCTCCCTCCAACTTAAAATAAACTGACATTACGATACGAGGAACCGTGCGAAGTTAGCAACTCTCCAAGCTGACCGTTACACCCCACCCCCAGCCCCACCCATCCTACCAGCTGTTGGACACTATTGCACCTCTGGGTAGCAAAGGTGCGAGTCTGTGCCCAGTGATTTCGGGGGCCTTCCCGGACCCTGGCCTGGAGGCTCTCAAACCCATAACCTGGCTGCCTCACTCTCGTTAGATCATCAAGGAACATTCTGGACTCATGGCTTGTTTTCTCAAATCTCCAGGAAGGGCTGGAGATGGGCCAAACTGTAGCATCCAGGTTCCATCTCCCTGGCCGGCCCTTGGCTCCATGACCGGCTGGCACTGTCTGTCAAGGGCCAGGCCTCTGCGGGCAGCTGCTATTGGTTCTCCCGGAGGCGGGAAGGAAGGAACATTCAAGGAGCAGAGGGGTCAGGTTCCAGCCTGCTGTCATGGAGAGAGACGGTTGGCCCTTGACCAGACCATGCAGTCCCACATCCCTCCCTTTCTCCGAGTCCCCTCTTCTCTCTGCCCCAAGTTCTGACAGACACCGGACGGTGGGAGGCCCACGGCTGCCCATGCTCCTGCCTCCAGATCACTCACGACTTTTAGTAGCAATAAGACCAGGTCTGAATCACAACTGTGTGATCCACAACCTAATAGTAATAGTAACATTAGCACCGGTACTAGTTAATATTAACTAATATTGGTGCGATGCAGTCCTGATTAAAAGGGTATTTTCCCACTCACTTGGCAGACAGGTAGGAGAGACTTAATTCGTGTATTGAGCGCCTGCTGTGTCCCAGGGTCTTGGCTACCTGTTGGGGAGGTAGACATGAAAAGGTACGTTTCTTGCATGCAAACTCTTTGCAGGATGGTTGAAAGTCAGGAAGATGGGGACACAGAGAAGCTAAGTAACTTTCTCAGAGGCATTCATCTAGCAAGTTCTAGCAGTGTTCAAACCAAGTCCTTGGACTCAGAGGCCTTTCCCAACGGTTCCTGCATTGCCTGCGAGTGTCGTATACGTTTAGCCTGCACAACACCATCCAGAAGGGACCGACCAGAGGACGGCATGGTTTAGGGACAGTGGGAGTTTATGCCCAGAGTGAACCGATGCCTGTGGATGTCAGGCCATGTTGGCCCTGGACACCCCAGGGGGGCAAACCTTGGCTGGGTCCAGGTCAAAGCCTATTGAAGACATGGCCTTGACCTCTCATGGCCTTTCTGCTTGTTGATAAAGACCCGTCCTTTCATCAGAAGGGCGGCAGAGATGCTGCCTTGAGAGCTTTTTCAAAATTAAAAAATTTTTTTTTTTTTTTTTTTTTTTTTTAGTCTGCACTAATCCTTGTCTTCTGGGCTGCCAATGCCCTTACAATCAGCATGTGACATACATTGGTTATTGTTCTTCTGAAGTTCTCTATTGGCTTTTTGTAAATGATGTCTTGTGCTTAGAGGAGCCCTATAAATCCCTGTATTTACAGCCAGGGAACCCAAGCCCAGAGAGGGCAAATAACTCATCTTAAATCATGTCAGAGATAAGACGAGAACCAGAACCCAGGTCCCCAGGGCACCAGCCTGGAGCCCACATACACCCACCCGAAATGGTGGGAAGGCAGGCTCAGGCTGTGTCTGGCTTAGCCCCCACCACAGTCCCTCAGCAAGCATGCGTGGCTGGGATGAGGGCTCTCTGACTCCGGATAGAGGCCAGCACAGGCAGATTCCCCTCTCCGCCCCCGTCAATGACACTACAGTGATCAACTCTGCCTCCTCGCCTTGAGTGGTGAGCCTCACAGGGAGGGGCAGAGGCCATGAGAGGTGCCCTTGGGGACGGCAAGGTCACAGTCTCTGCCGCAGGGCCTGCGGCTCTCAGGAGGCCATGATGTGCTGTGGTTTGGAGCCAGACTGACCCTGCTGTGTCACTTTGGGCAAGTGACTTAACCGCTCTCTGCCTCAGATTTTCCCCAGCAGAATGGGCAGGAT